GAAAAAAAAAAAGCCTTATTTGAGTGTAGAAAGGGAAAAATCCATACACTACAGATTTATATAAAAATCCAAATTCAGTAAAATTCAGCCAGGGCATGTGTTGCTTGGCCCTTGCAGGCTATTGGAATGGTGATTCTGCCCCAGTGGTTCCCAGAGATGAGACTTGTTCCTCACAGCTTTTTTTTTTTTTGCCAGGTGGTGTCCAGGGGAGTCTTTCATGCCATCGTGCTGAAGATCCTCCCATTGCCTGTGGCTCAGCTCCTCACCAAGAGTGGTCTGCTGACTCGCTTCTCTCCCTTCCTTCATGCCTCCACCCAGAGCTTGTCTGAGGTCTTGCAACAGCTGCCGGCCTCCCCTGAGCTCCAGGCAGTGCTCAGCTACATCTTTCCTACTTATGGTGGGTACTGCCTGGGTTCTGGGCAGTTCCTGGAGGAGGGGGTGCTGCTCTCCCTACTATGTCTTTCTCCCTGAAACTACTTGGCTGACTGAAATGGAGCAGTATGAATCCTAAGCCCTTTGGAGCATATGTGTGAGAAGTCTGTCCACCTGCTGGACTCCCTGGTAGAAATTCCCCTCATCCACACCCTGGATGATTTTTCTGTTCTCTCCTCCCTGGTCTCGGCTGAATGGCATTTTGTAGGGAGGATATTCCCGCTGGCCCTGAGATCTGTAAAATACTCCTTATTTAGACGGAAACAAGGCCCTCTGACTGTCCCAGGCCCTGGAGAACATTTGGATCCTGGGATGGACTCGGGCTGTGTGTTATCTAAATACTAACTGTACGCCACTCTCAGTGGTGCAGCACGCTGGATGCTCTTCCCTCATCTCCCCTTCTGTAGGTGTGACCCCCAGCCACACCACCTTTGCCATGCATGCTCTTCTGGTTGACCACTACTTAAAAGGAGCCTTCTATCCCCGTGGTGGCTCCAGTGAAATCGCCTTCCACACCATCCCTGTGATTCAGCGGGCTGGGGGTGCTGTCCTTACACGGGCCACTGTGCAGAGCGTGTTGCTGGATTCAGCTGGAAAGGCTTGTGGTGAGAGCCCTGCACCAGGCTTTGGGATCCATGGGCTGGGGAGGGAGAGACTAGGGTACAGAGAAAGGGAAGTATTGCAGGCAGATGGTGGAGAAGAACTGACCTCCTTATGGGGAGTTAAAAGCTCAACTTCACACCAGAGCAGAGACTGGGATATAGCAATAGGTCTGCAGGAAAAAAGGAAGCAGGAAGGATGAAGTATTGCACGGTCCCCAAAGAATACTGAACCAAACCAAACGCACCACCAATGAATTGATTCCCATGCATAGTGTCGCTATAGAAGAGAATAGAGCTGCCCAATAGCGTTTCCAAGGCTATAAATTTTTATGGAAGTAGACTGCCCCCATCATCCTCCTGCAGAGTGGCTGGTGGGTTAAAACCACCAACCTTTGGGTTAGTAGCCATACTCTTTAACCACTGCACCACCAGAGTTCCTTCTACAAAAGACATAGCTCCTACACTCAAAAAGTTAATGAATTACTGGATAATTATAATTATCTCTTGAATAGATTTTTAAGGGCTAATAATAGTTGATAAAGCAGTGGCTTAGTGGTGGTGTAGTGCCTAAGGCATTTGACTGCTAATCAGAAGGTTGGCAGTTCAAATCCACCAGCCACTCTTTAGAAGGCAGATGCAGCAATCTACTTCTATAAAGATTTCCCACCTTGGAAACCCAGTGGGGGTCACTATGAGTTGGAATTAACTTAATGGCAGTGAGTTTGGTTTGGTTTTTGAGAGTAGTTAATAATCTATTAAAAAAAATAGTAGTTAATAATTTATTCAAGAGATAATATTTGTCCAGTAGTTCACTAACATCTTGAGTGTAGGGGCTATGTCTTTTTATATTTATGTCTATGGGTTTTACCACTTAACAAAACCAAAAAATTAAACCCCTTGCTGTCATGTTGATCCTCACTGATGTGACCCCATGTGTTACAGAGTAGGACTGCTCCATAGGGTTTTCTTTGCTTAATCTTTATGGAAGCAGATCACCAGGCCTATCATCTATAGCACCATTGGGTGGATCTGACTGCCCATCTTTTGGTTAGTGGTAGAGCACAAACTATCTGCACCACCTACCATTTAACAGAGGTTCAGTCAATGTTGATTCAGGGATGGATGGAATGAATGAGTAACCTGGGCACTCTACAAGGCAATATGGAGGCAGCATGTACTGGCCTTACCCATAAATGGCAGAGTGGGGTCTACAATCTCCTTGTCCTGTTTCAGGTCAGTGCTGTTACCTGCACAGAGTTAAATTCCACCATGGATGAACTCTTTGAGGAGGTAGTCTGTGCAAGAAAGGATTCTGGCCAACAGAACAGGCATCTGTGTCTACAGGGTGCTTAAGGAAGCAATAGGGAAGGGGCCCCAGAGGCCTGAACACATCAGGGCTGGTGTGATGGCAAACACACCAGAAGAGCCCCTCCAGGAGTAGGTGGTGAGTAGGTAGACCAGTGCACGGAAAGACAAGGGACAACAGGCTGTCAGTGATCTCTTTTGTAAAAGAGAATGAGAGCTTGCTGGGTGGTAATAGAGAGACGTGGCAGTTGTGTGCGATTTTCTCTGACGTCTGTGAACATGTTCCCCTTTCAGCTGACAAGGGTCCACAAATCAAGGTAGGTTGATCAGTTCAATTAAATTCAATTCAGAATATACTTATTCATGTTTTTCATGAGCCAGGCAAAAAAAGATGGAGATAAAATATAAATAAGTGTCAATCTCTAACTCAACAAGTTTCCAACATTGTAGGGAATGTTAAAACAACAACAAAAATCCCCTCACTGCCATAGAGTCAATTCAGATTCATAGTGACCCCATTGTGTTTCCAAGGCTATAAATCTTTACAGAAGGAGACTATCTCATCTTTTTTCCTCCCTTGCGGCTGGTGGATTCGAATTACTGACCTTTTAGTTAGCAGCCAAATGCCTTAACCACTACACCACCAGAGTGCCTCAAGGATTATTGCAGTATAATTTAAGGGCCACAAAAGAGGCAGATACTTAGGATAGAGATGATACAGAGAACAGTGGAACAGAGAAGGCTTCACTGAGGCAGAGGTGTTTGAGCCATGTCATGAAGGATGAGAAGCAGCTCCCCAGCGATGAGGTTGAATAAAGTTATTCCAGGCAGGGAAACAGCATGTGTGAAAGCATGCAGGTATGAAAGAGCTGAGTATTTCCAGGCATCTGAGAGTATTAGGTTGAACTATGAGAAACTACTGTTTCTGTGGGCCAAAGAAACCATCTCATATCAGCTGTATCTTATGGTTTTACCTAATATTCAGTGCAATCACTGTGAGGATGATGCAGGACCAGGCAATATTTCATTCTGTGGTTGTACATGGGGTCTCTATGAGTCAGAACTGACTTGATAGCACCTCGGAACAACAATATTTCAGTGACAGCAGCAAGAGATGAAGCTGGACTTATAGAAGGGATGGGATCATGGAAGACTGCTATATAAGGCTTTGGGATTTACCTTAGAAAAGTTGACATGTCCTTGAAGGGTTTTAAAGAGAATAGTAATGTGAATAAAACCCTGTCAGCTGTGAAGAAGGAAGCATTTCAGCCCAGGAGCTTTATTAGGGTTGGGAGTTGGGCTTGGCTAAAGGGCCTCGATAATGCAGGAGTAGGGTTAGTGTGGGGGAGCTCTGGTAGGTTAGTGCCTAAGGCACTTGACTGCTAACCAGAAGGTGGCAGTTCAAACCCATCAGCCACTCCTCGGAAGGAAGATGGGGCAATCTACTTCCGTAGTGATACTGCCTTGGAAACCCAAGGAGGGTCGCTATGAGTCAGGTCTGACTTGACAGCACATAACAACAACAACAACAACAGGGTTAGTGTGGAGAGAGCTGAGTGAGTAATTGCAGAAGCTGTCATGGGATAGGCTAACAGTGCTTGAGGATATTTCACTCACTTTGCAGTGTTGCCTGGGGCTTGCCCTGTCTGGCCCAAGGTGGGCTGGACTCCCAGGTCTCAGAAATGAAGTGTAGGCTGAGAGAGATCTGTGGGGGCAGGGGCCTTTCTTTACCTTCCTGGAGCTCTCAGAGCCTCACCAACCTCCCATGTCTGCAGGTGTGAGCGTGAAGAAGGGCCAGGAGCTGGTGAACATCTATTGTCCCATTGTGATCTCCAACGCAGGACTGTTCAATACCTATGAGCACTTGTTGCCTGAGCATGTGCGCTGTCTGCCAGGTAAGAGACTGCTCTGTGTTGCTCTCTTTCCAGCTCCCCAGCATTTTTACTTCTGGAGTCAGCTTGTGCAACCCATGCAGTGCCTTCTCAAACCTTTGGCTTACTTAGCTGGACCTCAGCTAGCATCTGCTGCCAGCAGATACCTCCTCACTGTCTGACTGGGTGAGCTGAGTGGGGTGAGACAGAGACTGCCCAGTGACAGGGCAGTGGGGCAGGGTGTGGGGAAACCCATAGACTTTGCCTCTGGTACTTCTTGCTTCTTTCTCTGTAACCCTTTTTCCCTCTAGGCCCAGAAACTCTGAGCCTTGACAGTAATAAGCTATTGTCCCCCTCAACCAGCCTCTTCCCAGGCAACCATAGTCCAATTACCTACTCAGCTTGATCTTCCCTCACTGTCCAGTTATGGTTTTCATGCTCTCATGTATCTTTGCCCTGAAAACAGTCTGATGGCACCAGCCCACACTGCCTGAAGGATCAATTGCCCCTTTGGGGTAGGGGGTTGGACGTTGCCCCAGATGAATTCCAGTCTAAGAGCATTTCAGGTAGTGACAGTGATGAGACTTAAATCAGAGATCCTAGGTGCTACAATGCCTTTGTTTCCACCTGCTTGTGGGACGGGCTTCTCACAGGTTCATTTACCTCTTAGTGACGGAAACTCAGGTACCAGGTATCCTCTGTAACAAGCAGAGCCAGATGGGGTTGAGGTAGAGGTCAGGGGATCAAGTAGAGCTTTGTGAGTAGGGATATCCTTTCTTAAATCCCACTGCTGAGCCTTGAAGGGGTCACTGGGGATGGTTTGGGGAGCAAGATATATGGCTCCTGGACCCCCTACTTTAACTTGGCAAAAAGGGAGGAAGCGCTAGGTGGAAGGACTTTCTATCTAAGGAGACTCTGAAGACCCTTTTATCTTCAAGACAATCTCCCATCCACCTGGAGAGGGAGTGCCAGCAGTGTGCCTAATCCTGGATGCTGGGATCCAGGTAAGAAGGTGCTCTTGCAGCTTCCGCACTGGGCTGCTGACCTGCTAAGTTAGGGCAGTCCTCTGTGCTTTACTGTGGCTGTTCCTCTGCCTTTAGCGAGAGAACAGGCAGAGCATATGGGCCTTAGGCTCTAAATCGGAATTTGGGGGAGGGGTTGGAGGAAATCCATGTTCACCTTCCCTCCTCAATGTGTTCCCATACTTGAGTGTCTGTAAGTTTTATGTTTATTTTCCTACTGTAATTATTAATAATGCCCCCTTTCAGTCTCAAGGGCATTTTTTTTTTCTTTTTATTGTGATTTGGGTGAAAATTTACAGAGCAAATACACTTTCCATACAGCAGTTCACATATACTTTGTCTCATGACATTGACCACAATTTACCACAATGCAACATCTCCCCTCCTACTTCCTCCCAATAGTTAACCTCTTCCCTGTGTCCATCCCTCCATGTACTCCTGCCCCCTGAGCTGTCTGTGCATAAGCAACCCTTCTTTCTCCCATGCTTGTTCTCTCCAAGGAGTATATCTACCTCAGGTAAATGTTCAACTCATATGCCTGTCTATTGTTTGGCTGGAAGCCACAGGTGTGGGTTCAATTCCAGACCTGAAGGGCATCTAGGGGCCAAGTCTCAGTGGTTCCACCAGGCTCTATCAGGCTAGCAAACCTGGTCCCCTCAAGGATATTTTGGATGATAGATTATCTTGGCACCCTACTGGTAGCACTCAGTTCTTCTTTGTAGATTCTCAGAGATAGTCAACTTCTTCCTGGGAAGTGTCTTCTCCTATAGACAGGCATCATGTCTGATTATTTGTAATATCCCTAGGGTCAAGTAGAGGGTCTAGAACATTTTAGGTCAATAAATATATGTTAAAGTGCATGAAGCAGATCAGTGGCCAAGTTATCCCTCAAGCAGGTGCTGGGGATGGTTCTTGGAATGGGAAAAGTAAGAATTCATGGGTGTCAGTTTCCAGAAAACTGGCCTGGGATCATCTGCTGCTGAGTGGCAGGGAAAGCCAGGCACTTTGGATCCAGGGGAAATTAGTGGGCCCTCACTATGGCTCCTTCCTCTGTAGTGCTTTTCTCCCTTCTTTTCCATATGAGTCATGAAGATAGGAGGCAGTTGGCCTGAGACTGTGCCCTAAGGTGCTGTGAGCTAGTTTAAGGAAGTTGGGGCCAGAGGGAGGAGAATAAGGAAGAAGGAAGAGGCCATCTACTTCTCAAAGAATTGGCCAGTTAAAACCTTATGAACAGCAGTGAAACATCGGGTGATATATTACTGAAAAGCTTTATAGAATAGCCCTGTAACATTGTGTGATATAGTGCCAGAAGATGAGCCCCTCAGGTCGGAAGGCACTCAAAATACAACTGGAAAAGAGCTGCCTCCTCAGAGTAGAGCCGACCTTGATGATGTGGATAGAGTAAAGCTTTTGGGACCTCCGTTTGCTGATGTGGCACATTTCAAGATGAGAAAAAACAGCTGGAAATATCCTTTAATACTCAGAACATGGAATGTACAAAGTATGAATCTAGGAAAATTGCAAGTTGTCAAAAATGAAATGGAACACATAAGATTGATATCCTAGGGATCAGTGAGCTGATATGGATTGGTTTGGACCATTTTGAATCAGACAACCATATGATCTACTATGCCGGGAATGACAGTTTGAAAAAGAATGACGTGGCATCCATCATCACAAAGAATGTATCAAGATCTATCCTGAAATACAATGCTGTCAGTGACAGGATGATAACCATACACCTATGAGGAAGACCAGTTTATACTACTATTGTTCACATTTATACACCAACCAAGCCAAAGATGAGGAAATTGAAGATTTTTACCAAGTTCTGTAGTCTGAAATTGACTGAATGTGCAATCAAGATGTGTTAATTATCACTGGTGATTGGAATGCAAAAGTTGGAAACAAAGAAGAATCACCGGTAGTTAGAAAGTATGGTCTTGGTGATAGAAATGATGCTGGAGATTGCATGATAGGATTTTTCAAGACCAGTGACTTATTCAATGCAAATACCTTTTTTCAACAACACAAATGGCAGTTATACACGTGGACTTACCCAGACAGAGTATACAGGAATCAGATTGACTACATCTGTGGCAAGAGATGAAGGAGAAGTTCAGTATCTTCAGCCCAAACAAGGCCAGGAGCTGACTGTAGAACAGAGCATCAACTGCTCATATGCAAGTTCAAGTTGAAGCTGAAGACAATTAAAACAAGTCCACAAGAACCAAAATATAACTTTGAATATATCCTTCCTGAATTTAGAGACCATCTAAAGAATAGATTTGATGCATTGAACACCAATGACCAAAAACCAGAAGAATTGTGGGATGACATCAAGAACATCATCCATGAAGAAAGCAAAAGGTCATTAAAAAGAGAGGAAAGGAAGAAAAGACCACAATGAATGTCAGAAGAGACTCTGAAACTTGCTCTTGAATGGAGAGTAGCTAAAATGGATGGAAGAATAGACAGGATAAAAGAGGTGGAAGTTTTCAAAGAGGAGTTTGAGAAGACAAAGCAATTATTGTAATGAAATGTGCAAAGACCTGGAATTAGAAAACCAAAAGGGAAGAATGCACTCAGTATTTCTCAAGCTGAAAGAACTGAGGAAAAATGTAAGCCTCAAATTGCAAGTGAAAGATTCCATGGGTGATATGTTGAATGATGCAGGAAACATCAAAAGAAGATGGATGGAATACACAGAGTCACTATACTAAAAGGAATTGGTAGATGATCATCCATTTCAGGAAGTGGCATATGATCAAGAACCAATGGTACTGAAGGAAGAAGTCAAAGCTCCACTGAAGGAATTGGCCAAAAAACAGCAGTCTGGGAATTGATGGAATACCCATTATGTTTCAACAAACAGATTCTGTGGTGGAGACACTCACACTATCAGCTATGCCAAGAGGTTTGAAACAGTTATATGGACAACTGACTGGAAGAGATCCATATCTGTACCCATTCCAAACAAAGGTGATCCCACAGAATGTGGAAATTATCAAACAACATCACTGATATCACACAGAAGTGAAATCTTACTGAAGATAATTCAAAAATGGTTGCAGCAGTATACTGAGAGAGAATTTCCAGAAATACTAGCTGGATTCAGAAGAGGACATGGAGTAAGGAATATCACTGCTGATGTCAGATGGATCTTGGCTCAAAGCAAAGAATACCAGAAAGATGTTTACTTGTGTTTTATTGGCTATGCAAAAACATTCAATTGTGTGGATCATAACAAATTGTGGATAACATTGAGAAGAAAGGGAATTCCAGAACACTTAATTGAGCTCATGAGGAACCTGTACATAGACCAGGAGGCTATTGCTCAAACAGAACAAGGGGATACTGCATGGTTTAAAGTCAAGAAGGGAGTGTGTCAGGGTTGTATCCTTTCATCATACTTATTCAGTCTGTATGCTGAGCAAATAATCTGAGATGCTGGACTATATGAAGAAGAACATGGCATCAGGACTGGAGAAGGACTCATTAACAACCTGAAATGTGCAGATGACACAACTTTGCTTGCTGAAAGTAAGGATGACTTGGAGCACTTACTGATGAAGATTAAAGACTATAGTCTGCAATGTTTCTACAAGTGTATTGGTATGTTCTGTAAGAATTCCCAGGTATATAGTAGAGCTGACAAAGGACAAGGTTGTAGTCACTTCTTGGCCACAGCCAGCTACCCAGAGGGACCAAGTAGTTGGACCTGTGGGTTTGGGACCATAGTCACAGGGGACATCAAGCTCAATTGGCATAAAATACTACACAAAACATTGCTCCATGTCCTACTTTGGCGAATAGCAACCAGGATCTTAAAAGCTTTCAAGCAGCCATCTAGATGCAGTGATGGGTCTCTCCTCGTCCAGAGCAAAGAAGAATGAAGAAAACCAAAGATTCGTGGAAACAATTAGTCCAAGTGAACGGTACACCATGCGATCCTCATACTATATAACTATGAGACCAAAAGAACTAGATGGGGCCCAGGTACCACTGTTAACCACTCCAAGGAGGACCTCTGAAGGAGATCCTGGATAGTGGGAGAACAATGTGGAACAAAACTCAGCATCATTAAAGAAAGAGAGAGAGAGAGACCAGGTTTTCTGGTCTGATAGAGCCTGGTGGAACTCCTGAGACTATGGCCCCTAGCTGCCCTTCAGGTCTGGAATTAAACCCACTCCTGTGGCTTCCAGCCAAACAAAAGACAGGCATATGAGCTGAACATTTACACTAGATAGATACATTCCTTGGAGAGAACAATCATGGGAAAATAGAAGGGCTGTGTATGCACAGGGAGACAGCTCAGGGGGCAGGAGTGCATGGAGGGAAGAACATAGGGAAGGGGCAACTATGGAGAGGAAGTGGGAGGAAAGCTGTTGCATTGTGGTGAATTATAGTCAATGTCATGAAACAAAGTGTATGTGAGCTGCTGTATGGAAACTGAATTTGCTCTATAAACTTTCACCCAAATCACATTTTTTAAAAAAAGGCTACAGTCTGCAGTGTGGATTACACCTCAATATAAAGAAAACAAAAATCCTCACAACTGGACCAATAAGTAGCATCACAATAAATGGAGAAAAGACTGAAGTTGTCAAAGACTTCATATTACTTGGTTCTACAATCAACACCAATGGAAGCAGTAGTCAAGACATCAAAACACATATTGCATTGGGCAAAATATCTCTTTCCAGTGCTGAAGGGCAAAGATATCTCCTTGAAGACTAAGATGTGCCTAACCCAAGCCATGGTCTTTTCAATTGCCTCATATGCATGTGAGAGCTGGACAATGAATAAGAAAGACTGAGGAAGAGTTGATGTCTTTGAGTTGTGATGCTGGCAAAGAATGCTGAAAGTACCATGGACTGCTAAAAGAAGTAACAAATCTGTCCTGGAAGAAGTGCAGCCAGAATGCTCCTTGGAGGGAAGAATGGCCAGACCTCATCTCACCTACTTTGGTCATGTTGTCAGAAGGGACCATTCCTTGGAGAAGGAGGTCATGCTTGGTAAAGTGGAGGATCAACGAAGGATGGGAAGGTTCTCAACAAGATGGATTGATACAGTGGCTACAGCAATAGGCTCAGGTACAGTAGGGATCATGAGGCTGGCACAGGACGGAGCAGCATTTCGTTCTGTTGTACATGAGGTCACTATGAGTTGGAGATGAATTGATGGCACATAACAACACAACAACAAAGGAGAATAAAAATCTTGGACTGTATGCTTCACAGGCAGGAATAGACTGAAGTGCAGACCTTGCAAGTCCGTGTTGAAATAACAGCTGTGAAACTGGGCTGAGCCCTAGGCAGGCAACTGAGGATAAGTTGGTAGATAAAGTGAGTTGGCATCAGCAGGCTGTCCTGGCATATGGCCATCTCTGGCCCCAGGTCATGTATTCCTTCCCAACTCTCTCTGACAGATGTGAAGAAACAGCTGGGGATGGTGCGGCCTGGCTTGGGCATGTTCTCTGTTTTCATCTGCCTACGAGGCACAAAGAAGGACCTAGGTCTACAGTCCACCAACTACTATGTTTATTTTGACACAGACATGGACAAAGCGTAAGGCGTGTGTGTGTGTGCGTTGGGGTGCCAATACAGACCCACAGCCCCCAGGTCCAGGCTGCCTCCTGCAATGGGTGGTGGTGAGGGGAGTGAGCAGAAATTTATTCCCTGAAGGGCTTTTTCCTCTATGCCACACTGTTATCATTGGAGGAATCCCTGGTGATGAGCCATCCCTGCTATTCTGGTGGCTATCAGAAAAGAGGCTGGGAATTGACAGCCCCTTCTGTCACCCACAGGATGGAGCAGTACTGCTCAATGCCCAGGGAAAAGGCTGCAGCACACATCCCCCTTTTCTTCATTGCTTCCCCATCAACCAAGGATCCGACATGGGAGGACCGATTCCCAGGTAGAGCTTGGGGTCCTGGTGGAGAAGGGAGTAGGGGTGAGGCGTGGGAGCAGGGAAGGGACCAGGCAGCAGTGAACCTGGCTCTGTATCCCCAGACCGCTCCACGATGATTGTCCTGTTCCCCATCACCTACGAGTGGTTTGAGGAGTGGAAGGAGCAACCACAGGGAAAGCGGAGCAGTGACTATGAAACCCTTAAAAACGCCTTTGTTGAAGCCTCTATGTCCATTGTCCTGAAGCTCTTTCCCCAGCTGGAGGGGCAGGTAGGGGGACAGGGTATCTGGTGGTGGTGACTGGACTTCTCGGTGCCATTTCTGCTTTCTCCTCAGTACAGGGGAATAAAGCCCTGAGGAAAGCACAGGAGGTGGTCATTTTGTGCAAGGAGAGCAGAAATGGGGTAATCATCTCTCTTCCCAGTCCTGTCCTGTACCTGCCTTTTGTGCCTCCTCAGGTGGACAGTGTGACTGGAGGATCCCCACTGACCAATCAGTTCTATCTGGCTGCTCCACGAGGTGCCTGCTATGGGGCCGACCATGACCTGGGCCGCCTGCATCCTCAAACAATGGCCTCTATGCGGGCTCAGACCCCCATCCCCAACCTCTACCTGACAGGTACAGCATCTGTCCCATTTTGCCAGGGCCCAAGACCCTGGGCCATGTGTCACCCAAAGTCCTTTGTTCCTGTCCTTGTGACCTGCTGTGCTCTGCAGCCTCCTATTGTCTGTACTGGGATGCCTTGTGTGTTTGGGTCCTGACCTGAAGCCTAGTCTCTGGGTGGGCCTTGCTCAGAGGGATGAATGTGAGTGTCCTTGTCCTCCCCTGTCCATTTGGGTGGATGCTGATGGCTCTGCTCTTGCCTCCTAGGCCAGGACATCTTCACGTGTGGGTTGATGGGGGCCCTGCAAGGGGCCATGCTGTGCAGCAGCGCCATCCTGAAGCGGAACGTGTACTCTGACCTTAAGAAGCTTGGCTCAAGGGTCCAGGCACAGAAGAAGAAGAATTAGTTCCTTCAGGGATGAGTCGGGAGAATTTGCCCTCAGTCTAGTGCACTTTCCGTGACCTAAGGTCTCTCTGCTTTAGTTCCTTGCCCATATAAAGCACTTGTTTGTTTTTGATTTCTAACAAAGTTCTGACACACAGTCCTACTGTTGATCATAGGTCTTTATGTGAAGCTCTTCCAGCTGGGGCCGATGATCCTTTATAACTTTTATAGCTCGCTATTCCAACTAAAAGCCAGTCTGGGTCACTGATCCATGTCTCATAATTAGCAGTGTTCTGCACCCGACACCCATTCCTCCTAACTGTGAACAATCATAGTGAATATTCTCTTGGTCAGGAGGCTAGAACCCCTGAAAGGTGTTGGTAAGCTGAAGCAGGTAGTCTGGTCTGCCCTGAGGTTTCTCCTCTCACTCACTCTTAGTGCTGGGCTATAGGAGTTCTATACTGCCTGCAGAAAAAGGTGACCAATGAGCTTTTAAGGCCCTGGTTGTGGTTCTGTAGGCTCAGAGGTGCCCAAATCCCATTTGTGCTGTTTCCAATGGCTCTTTCAGAGGATGGGGAAGTGTTTGGTTGGATGATTGGGAGTAATAAGACCACCCTTCCCCAAACTGTTTGGAAGATTAGCCTTGAGGCTCAGGTGCTGGCAATAGATATAGTGTTATAATATCCAGTTTGTATGCAATCAAGCCATAGGCTAGTCTTCTTTTTGACTGAGTTGGCTTCTGGTTTCAATGTGCCAGCACGTGAAACTCAAGGTTAATCTTCCAAACAGTTTGGGGAAGGGTGGTACTAGGGTACAGGACTGGAAAAATGATTTATCATTGGGGGAGAAGTAGAATGAGAGGGCATTCCAAAGCACAGAAAGGAACTGAATGTGTTATGACAGACACCCCAGCTACCTCCTAGACTTCAGCCTGCTGGGAAGAATGTGTATGTGGGTGTGTGGGGGGTCCAGTCAGGATCAAAAAATGAAGAGGCTTAGGAACAGCATTGTAGTTTATGTGGTAGATCTATGGAGACTGATGGAAGGTAAACAAAGTCCAAAGGTTAATAGAAAAAATTGCACTTAAGTTAAAATGAAGCACCAAATGCCTTATTTTAGTCAATTTAATGTAAATATTAATAAAATTAATGATTTATACCTTTAACATTTGAAAAGTACTCTGTTTTTTCTTCAGTGATGCAAAACTACATTGAGATGGCATTCATAGAAGCTAGTAGAATATTATGTACTGAAAAATACTTATCAGTAGACCAAATAAACTTTAAAAAGTGAAGTAATTAGTTTATGCAGAGGTTTGGCAGACAATGTTTCTACAAGTGTATTTGTATGTTCTCTAAGAATGTTCAGGTGTATAGTAGAGCTGACAAGGGACAAGGTTGTAGTCACTTCTTGGCCACAGCCAGCTACCAAAGCCAGGTAGGGAGTGAGAAGTTGGACCTGTGGGCTAGGGACCATGGTCACAGGGGACATCAAGCTCAATTGGCATAACATGCTACACAAAAACATTGTTCCACATCCTACTTTAGTGAGTAGCAATTGAAATCTTAAAAGCTTGCAAGCAGCCATAGATGCAACGATGGATCTCTCCTCATCCAGAGCAAAAAAGAATGAAGAAAACCAAAAATGCATGGAAACAATTAGTCCAAAGGACTGCTACACCATGCGATTCTCAGCCTATATGACTATGAGACCAGATGAACTAGATGGTGTCCGGCTACCACTGTTAACCACTCAGAAGGGGATCTACATTGGAGATCCTGGATAGAAGGGGAGAACAATGTGGAACGAAACTCAAAATAATTTAAAAAAAAAAAGGGAGGGACCAGGTTTGCTGGTCTGATAGAGCATGGTGGAACCCCCTGAGACTATGGCCCCTAGCTGCCCTTCAGGTCTGGAATTGAGCTCACTCCTGTGGCTCCCAGACAAACAAAAGACAGGCATATGCGCTGAACATCTACATTGTTGTTGTTGTTGTTATGTGCCGTCGAGTCAGCCCCGACTCATAGCGACCCCTCCTTGGGTTTCCGAGGCAGTATCACTACGGAAGTAGGATTGCCCAACCTTCCTTCCGAGGAGTGGCTGGTGGGTTTGAACCGCCAGCCTTCTGGTTAGCAGTCAAGTGCTTAGATACATTCCTTGGAGAGATCAATCATGGGAGAATAGAAGGGCTATGTATGTACAGGGAGACAGCTTGGGGCCGGGGCAAGAGTGCATGGGAGGGGGCAGGAGTGCATGGGAGGGAAGGACACAGGGAAGAGGTGGCTATGGAGAGGAAGTGGGAGGAGAGCTGTTGCATTGTGGGAGATTGCAGTCAATGTCATGAGACAAAGTGTATGTGAACTGCTGTATGGAAGATGAATTTGCCTGGTAAACTTTGACCCAAATCACAATAAAAATTAAAAATAAAATAAAGTAATTATAATTAAGTTACATAAAAGATGAAAATACAAAACTCTGCCAAAGGGTGGCAATCTACTAACTGGGCAAACAATAAAGAATGAAAACAATTTCACTCAATCATTTATTTCACAAGGTAGACTTACGAGTCAAAGACAGACCTATCAAAGGTGGCTGGCTTTGTTGGTAGCTTGAATTACCATACAGCTCAGACCCAAACCCTATACTGGAATTTCTAAATTGGGATATTTAGGCAATTCACATCTTACTTATGGAACTAGCTTGAGTTGAAATTCAGTCTTGGCTCTGGATATAGTTAAATTAATCTCAACGTCTCTTCTCAAGAGACTTACTTAAGCAAGGCAATGATTAATGCAATCTTCCCAGCCAGCGTTTTCAGAAAACACCACAGCAGAAACACAGGGTCTGATGTATAGCACTCTCTTTCCAATGATTCAGAATATGTGCAAAGCTAGCTTTCTTCAAACTTGCAGCATTTTATATTAAGTTACCCTGTAAAAGCAGGGGCAAGCTTCCTCTTTTTGATTTAAATGACATGAAGTGGAGAAAAAAATGAGAATCACCATTACGGGAATTTTACAGTTGAGAATTCTATTACCTAATGTTGGGAGCTCTGGTAGCGTAGTGCCTAAGGCACTTGACTGCTAACCAGAGGGCTAGAGGTTCAAATCCACCAGCTGCTCCTCGGAAGGAAGATGGGGCAATCTACTTCCGTAGTGATACTGTCTCGGAAACCCAAGGAGGGGTTGCTATGAGTCAGGTCCGACTCGATGGCACATAACAACAACAACGTTTCATTAAAAGCCGTCATGATAATGTCAGAAATATATAGCTAGTTGTCAAGTCTTTCCGAGTTGACTTAGCCTTTCTAGATAGACTGCTTTGGATGCCCCCAGAGGCCAGAAGTGGACTCTTAAAATAATTATATTCAGTTATCTGTATGAGGGAAACAAGCCCCTCTATTGACATCGGTGACTCAAGTACAGATTCCTCCTAACAGAAATCACCTTCAACCTAAGGCTGGGGGCAGCAAGGGGATATTTAGGAAACATATAGCTTCCCTTAGGGAGGAATACCTCTTATAGTTCCATGTGACCCCTACATACCCCTCACCTTCCAAAACTTGGGTTGAGAGATGCTTCAACCAGCCCACCCTCATTCATATAATTGCTAGGAAAACATGCTTCAAATATCCTATCTTCAAAAAAAGACAATCACCTAGAGAAAAATCTTCCTTTTGTGTGAGACATTTCCTTCAGCACAATATCTGAAGTGCACCTTAAATTCTGTGTACTTTTTCAGGATAAGAAACAATATTTCTTAGAGGCTATAGAGAAGATGAATTACTTGGGACTCCATGGCAATGCTTATGTGTTCACTTGCCAACCCTCTCTGGCAGAAGCCATGGGCTACTGCACTCAGGAAATTGAGTCCACAGGTCTGGAGATCTATGCTTAAGGCAGGGCTGATCTGAGGAGCTGGAGGCCTCATTTGTTCAAGGAATGGAGTCCGGTGCTTTGCTACTGCAAGTGTGGTTCCAGCAGCACTTGATGTCACCTGGGATCTTCTTAGAAATGTAGCCGCATAGGTTCCACCCAGACCTAATGAATTAGAATTTGCTTTGCATCAAGAATCCAAAGGTAGGGAGGCGGGGCAAGATGGCGGACTAGGCAGAAGGATTGCACAGACCCTCTTCAACAAAGAAAAGGGAAACCAATAAATATAGACACAGAAGATAATCTTGGACCCCTGAGCCTTGAAGGAAAGGATGCAGATTTGGACTAAACCCCAACTAG